CCAGGTGCATGAAAGAAGTTTATCAGGTATATGTGGCTGTTAGGCATGTTTAAAGTATATTTCTTTGGAGATTACTAGAATATTTCTAGTTTGGTTAGTAGGTAGTAAGCAGTGGTCTGTCTATATATTCAGGGCGAGGCTAGAGAAGAATTTTATGTAGTGTGCTTCTGTTATATACTGAGGGGAGAGGAGAGGAGGTTGTATTCTGGAAGGTGGCACAATGTATAGTGTTTGAGGGATCCCTATATTCAGGGATTGGGAATATTTGCATGCGTGTGTGTTTGCATGTGTGTGTGAGAATTGTGTATGCCTGTTCGTGAGAGTTAAGGGATTGACAGTGTTTTTGTGTTTTGCGTGTATCTATCTGAGCATGTGGGGTGTATATTCATGAATAGTTTGTGTGTGTGTGTGTGTGTGTGTGTGTGTGTGTGTGTGTGTGTTTGGGATTTGTGAGTGTAACAGGAGGCTTTGGGTCCTCTTTGTGTCTGTTCCAGAATGTAGTGCTTGCAGAATTAGGTGGTGTTGCTTGTATGTGTCTTCTCAGTGTGTATGAGGTGGATGTACATGTATGTGATAAGTATAGGCTGTTTGTGACTGTGTATGTATCTGAGTTACCAGAGCTTATGATGGGCTGTGTATTCTAGGGAATGTGAGAGTTCACTTTGTGTGTTTGGAAATGAAGAGACTGTGTAGGTTGTGTGTGCGTGTGTGTCAGGAAATGTGGAGTATACTAGTTTTTTAGGACAGTGGGATTGCATGTGGATTTTTTTTTTTGGATGGCACATGAGACAGTTGTGTACTTGGTTTTAGAGAGTCTGTGTGTGTGGGTATCAGTGTGTACATCAGTATGTACATCTGGGAGGTATGTTGGTGGCCCATGTTGGTATTCAGGCCCATGTTGTGCATGTATATATAGTATAGAAGTAGAATGTGAATGTTCAGGATGATTAGGGTTTTGTCTGTAACAATCTAGGTGGTAAGAGGTGGTCTATCTGTATATTCAGTGAGGGTAGAAATGTATGTGTGTTCACATATGTAAATTAATTTTTGTTTATATGTCTAGGGTGGGACTTGAGTGTCCTACTCAGGGTGTAAGTGCATTGTATGCACATAATCACTTGAAAGGGGATGGGGTACTCTGGCCCTGGCCCATACTAGCCTGGGATAGTTGATAGTGCATGTCTCTTCTGGGCTCTGTGTTCATCAGGTGGGTAGTTTGAAATTAGTCATGCTGGGAATATTTATATCAGGCAAACACCACACATGAAGTATTTCCTGCACCCCCGAGAGAGTTATTTAGCATTCACCAGCACACCACTAGAGTGTGTGTCTGGATGTATGTGTGTGTGAAGCAAGAATATTCAGGCATCGGCGGGCGTCTGTATGGGAGGCTGTACATGAATTGTGAGCGAGGCATCTGGGGCTGTGGGCCCTTGTATGTGTGCATGGACCCTGGTCATTTTCAATCATTACATTGCTCTTAATCATGTTGGCCCATTCTTTAGGGCCAAAGAATACCCATAAATGTTGGTGATTTCTGGCCCCTCATCATGCAGATGGGTTGAGGCATGTCTGTACCATAGGCAGGTGGACACTTCTTTATCATTTGTATGGTCCTGGCATCAGCTCCCTAGATGGGTGGGCCTGGTAGACAGATAGCCCTGCAGAGCAGAATCTTCACAGGTGTACTGTTGACCTGACAGGCAGCCAGAAAGACGTGGGGCTTCCTGGACAGGAGGTCAGATGGCCAAGTGTTTCCCTAGGCAACCTTTTAAGAATTAGCTGGGCAGGTACTGGTGCTACTGACTTTTCTGGGGTAAGGTGGGTGGGCAAGGACACCCTTCACACGAGGTCCAGGTGGTGAAAGTCTACAGAGCCTTGTGTCCCTGAGATTGTTTGCTCCAGGGTAGTGGGTTGTGTTGGTTATCAGGCTGGTCAGAGGTATCACTAGTTCTTAACCCACCTATCTCCATGGGAACCTCGATCCTTAGGTATAGGAAGGAGTTTAGGGGTCAGTGAAGTGACAGCGACAGAGGTGGGGAGGCTTGTCCCTGAGGTGTCTGGGGGCTGAGACCTGGAGAGACATGGGGGTGCTATTCTGAGGAGATATATGTTTCTGACACTCCCAAGCCCTTTAGACATGCTCTCCTTTGTTTTATGAAGGCTTGGGATGCTTCTAGCAGTGAGATGAAGCTCATGTCAGCTTCATGTTTCACTGAGAGCATGACCTGACCCTCTTTTCTCTATTCCATGTTTAGCTGCAAATCTACCAGAGGGAACCACATGATCATTGTAGCCACTAGCTGACCCCATAACTACCTCCTGGCTCCCTTAGTTCAACTTGAGAATTTCTGGGCCTTCCTTCCTTATGGCAAGTCTCCTTCTTGCCTTTTCTCACTCATGGTCAGTCCTTCTGCCAACAGAATGTGCCAACCTCACCTGCTTGAGTGCCCTAATAACTGTTTGTCTCAGTACAAGTGGATTCCTAGTGGCTCTCACTGCCCCCTTCATAGCCTGTGCCCAATAAAATTACCGTGTCTTGTACTGATTGTATTGTGTGTTGTTGGCAGGATGGATCTGTGCCTGGTTTTATATTTTAGAATGTTATATATTTTCAGTAAACATGCAGTATAATGTATACAAAGTAGATGTTCTTGGGTTTGTTTGTTGAATTCTCTTTGGTTTGGTTCTGAAATGGGAAACCATGGATGCTGAGTTTTATGGGAGAGGAGCACTGTCTTGAATCAGCACTGAAAACCCCCCACCAGGTACAATTATTGGAAAATGCTGGAATGGCTGTTGTTCAACACACTTGGTTTTTCTGGAGCCGATATTTTTTTGGAGCGTATGTCATTCCCCCATCTCTCTATGGACAGAAGGAATCTTCTGCTTTTTCTTTAATCCTCCCCCGAGGATATTTTTTCCATTGCTTTTCAAAGAGAGTGGAAGGGATAGAGAGAGAGAGGGAGGGAGAGAAAGAGATTGATGTGAGAGAGACACATCAATTGGTTGCCTCCGGCACATGCCCCCACCTGGGTTGGGGATTGAGCCTGCAACCAAGGAACGTGTCCTTGGCCAGAATCAAACCCAGGACCCTTCAGTCCTTGGACCAACAGTCCGACCATTGAGCCAAACCAGCGAGGGCTCCTCTGCTTTTTTAGAAAAAAATTAAATTTTTTAAATTACAGTTACCATAAATAGTATATTTTTTTCAGGTATGCAACATGAGACATTTATGTAACTTACAGATTGATTACCTTTATAAGTCTAGTACCCATTTGACACCATATGTAGTTATTAAAATATTATTGACCTTATGCCATACTTGACATCCCCATGACTGTTTTTATAACTGGCAATTTGTCAATCTTAATCCCTTTCACTTTTTTACCCATCTCCCCAACCTCCCTCCCATCTGGCAACCATCAAAATGTTCTCTTCACCTATGAACTTGTTTCCGTTTTGTTCATTTGTGTATTTTTTTCTATAGATTCCACATGGAAGTGAAATCATGTGGTACTTGTCTTTCTCCATTTGACTTATTTCACTTAGCAAAATGCCCTCTAGTTCTATCCATGTTGTTGCAAATGGCAAGATTTCATTCTTTCTTTTGATTGAGTAATATTCCATTATTTGCAGTACCACCCCTTCTTTATCCATTCATCTATCGATGGACACTTTGGTTTCTTCCATATCTTGGCTATTGTAAATAATGATGCAGTGAACATAGGAATGCATATATCTTTTTGAATTAATGTTTTGTGTTTCTTTGGATAAATACCCAGATGTGGAATGGTTGGGTCCTTCTTGTTTCTTGTTATAGCCTTTGATTTAAAGTCTATTTTGTCTGATATAAGTATTGCTCTCCCAGTTTTTTAAAATTTCCATTTGCATAAAGTATCATTTTTCATCCCTTTACTTTCAGTAAGTTTGTGTCTTTCTTTCTGAAGGGAGTCTCTTATAGGCAACATGTGCATGGATCTTGTTTTCTTATCCATTCAGCCATCCTATATCTTTTGATTGGAGCATTTAACCCATTTACACTTAAAGTAATTATTGATAGGTATGTAGTTATTGCCATTTTATTACTCATATTCTTCTTGTTCTTCTTTTACTACTACTACTGCTGCTACTACTACTAGAATCTTCTTAACATTTCTTGTAATACTGGTTTGGTGGTGATGAGCTCCTTCAGCTTTTTCTTTTCTGAAAAGCTTCATATCTCTCCTTCTAAGTGATAACCTTGCTGAGTAGCGTAATCCTGACTGTAAGTCCTTGCTTTTCATCACTTTGAGTATTTGGTGCGAGCCCCTTCTGACTTGCAAAGTTTCTGTTGAGAAATCAGATGATTACCGGAGCTCTATTGTAGGTAACTAGCAGCTTTTCTCTTGCTGCTTTTCAGATTCTCTCTTTGCCATTTTACTTATGAGGTGTCTTGGTGTGGGCCTCTTTGGGTTCATCTTTTTTAGGACTCTCTGCACTTCCTGGACTTGTATGTCTATTTCCTTCACCAAGTTAGGGAAATTTTCCATCCTTATTTCTGCAAATATGTGTTTAAATCCCTTGCATTCTCTCTTCTCCTTCTGGTAACACTGTGATGTGAATATTTCTATGCTTGATATTGTCCCAGAGGTCCCTTAAACTATTAGCATTTTTTAAAATTTATTTTTCTTATTGCTGTTCTAATTGGGTGTTTTCAGCTACCTTGTCTTCCAAATTGCTGATTTGATCCTCTGCTTCATCTAATCTGCTGTAGATTCACTCTAATGTATTCTTCATTTCAGTTATTGTATTCTTCATTTGATTGAGTCTTTTTTCTATCTTCATTTTTATGTTTTCTGTTCCTTTTTATTTGATTTTACTGCTCTAGTCAATGAAAGGGAAATTTTATTGAGGCCCCCAGATCATGGGATTCAGGCAGAAGGCTGCACTGTGGGCCAAGGAGGTAGGAGAGGGTCCTTATTTAATCTTCTTGGGGTGAAGTTTATTTTGGTGGCTACACTTCTTGTGGCAGTACAGGTGGGCATAACACTTGTGGCAGATCATTTTGTTGCAGTTGTACTTCTGGGCGAGCTGGCGGAGGAAGGGTTCCATGGTGCTATCCCACAGATTAAGCATCAAGTGCAAGGTGGACTTTTTCTGAATATTATAGTCTGAGAGAGTATAGCTATTCTGTAGCTGCTTCCCCCCCC